GACGTGACGGTGGAGGCGGGGGCGGGGGGAGCCATTACCACAGCGGGGTCTGGGGGAGACGCAGCCGGGGTGCCAGGGGAGCGCCCTGAGGGACAGGGAGACAAAATGGTGGCAAGCGCCCTGGGCGGGAAAATGGCTTCGTGTCCTCCCGCTGGGGGGGACCTTCCCTCACGGGCTGCTTCTGCTACGAGGGGCAGCGGCACCATCAGAGGATGGCGACCAGAAACCCCAATTCACCCCAAATTGAGCGCTGGGGCTTCCACAGGCAGCGGTGCTCAGCACAGAGGGGCCAGCCTGGAGCACCACCAGCTTCAGCAGAGCCCTGCGAGCGCTCGGAGCCGGGGTTCGCTTTGTGACCCTCTGCTCTGTGGGGCTCCACTGAAGTCCCCTCTGTCCCACTTGGGGCAGCAGCTCCATCCCGAGGTTTTCCAGGTAGGATGTTAGTTTGAAGCACCCGACTGCATCTTTTCTCCCTGTTCTAACCAAACGTCTGTGTTTTCTTGCAGCGTTACCCCACAGCAAAGCCCAGAAGACTTTTTCCTACCCAAATACGTGCCGCAGGATCTCTAGTGGGTCTCAAGTCACCCGGACTTCAAGCCAACAAAGCACCAGCCCTCGAGTCTAAAGTCACAGCCCAGAAAGCCACTGTCACAGCCTAGAAACCGGCCGTGTCCTGGGCTGCACCAAAAGCAGCGGGTCATGGAGGTGATCCTGTCCCTCTGCTCTGCTGGGACCTCACTTGGAGCATTGTGTCCAGTTCTGGTGTCAAGGACATGAATCGGTTGGAGCAAGTGCAGAGGAGGCCACGAGGATGAGCAGGGGCTGGAGCAGCTCCCGTATGGAGACAGGCTGAGAACATTGGGGCTGTTCAGCCTGGAGAAGAGAAGCTGCTGGAGACCTCAGAGCAGCTTCAGTGTCTGAAGGGGGCTACAAGGATGCTGCAGAGGGACCTTCATCAGGGACTGGAGTGACAGGACAAGGGGTGATGGGTTTAAACTGAAACAGGGGAACCTTAGGTTAGACATAAGGAAGAAGTTCTTCACTGTGAGGGTGCTGAGGCACTGGAATAGGTTGTCCAAGGAAGTTGTGAATGCTCCATCCCTGGCAGTGTTCAAGGCCAGGTTGGACAGAGCCTTGGGTGACATGGTTTAGTGTGAGGTGTCCCTGCCCATGGCAGAGGAGTTAGAACTGGATGATCTTAAGCTCCTTCCCAACCCAAACCATTCTATGATTCTGTAAGTCAGGCTTTTTCTGTCACGGTTATAAACTCACAACACACCAAAACCAAACCTCAAAAAGCTTTGGAGGGACCATTCCCTAAATTTTTAATATTTTTGTGGTAGCTCTTAAAGGAAAAAAAAAAAGTCATAACCTGTGTTTTCTACATGGATTAAAATTTATAGCTTAAGATATTATTTGTATTGATCCTTACGCAGCACGCCCGGGTTTCCAGGCCCTGCAGAAGACTGGAGTGAGCTGTTCTGTCCATTTATATTGCATATGAAATTATTTTCTTTTACAAAATCAATACTCTTCACTTCTGCATCATAAAAGATTTTACTCCTGATGAGTAATTTGGTGGCCTCAAGGTCAGGGCTATTGAAGTTTTTAGTGTAGCCTGATGAATACTCTGTGTTGACTGTGTCTTACAGGATCTTTCATTTCTTCAATTAAACAGCTGAAAGTGGACACCACCTGTGCTCTCATATTTATTGTGCCACTAAAGCCCATGATAATTACACCGTGCTGATGACAAACAGCATGCCAGAGAGCCGGCAGCCTGGGTGGGTGGGTGTTCTAGGTCACCTTTTACACAGCATGAGCCATGGATCTAACTGGAGTCCACAGGTTTGAAGTCTCCAGTAAACAGAATCAGGTAATTTTGTTGTTAGTACTGTGGTTTTAATTATCTCAAGCTAATGAACAAGCAGAAGATAATGAGTGTGATGGGATCCTAGTTGGATAAGAAGGAGAACTTGTACACTACCTGGAAAACACCGGTAAAGGTACAGGTTTCATTCTTGCCACCGAGACTGCAAGGTAAACCAGGGGAAAAAACAAACCTGAAATGAGATCTGCTGCTCTCCATTGCCACAGAGGGTGACAAAAGCAAGACCACAGCCCATGGGCTTGCAGGCATTGAGCTTGTCTACAATCTCCGCAAGGTTTTGGTGGCACATAAGCACCCTAAACGGAGCCTTGCTGAACCAAGCTGGGAGCTTGTGCCCAGCATGGTCACCACTTTCATTAGGCTTTGTCCATGGTGAGCTGCTTTTCACACAGAGACACAAAGGGCAGGTGAAACCCAAGCTGCGGTGTCCCCAGCACAGGGCTGCAGGCTTTGTTTCATTTCAAAGCCACCAGAACAAGGATGCTTTGTGGTTTCCTTCCACTCCCATTCTCAATGCGCCTACGTTAGGGAAAAAAAAGCTGCTTTTTGCTTTCCCATGATAGCTCCTGGTAGGAAGATGTTATCGGGGCCATCATAAAGGGATGCACCGATCTGGCCACAGACACAAAGGCAGCGGATGTGAGAGCAGAGTTATTTCTCTAGGAGATGTGATTAGATGCTGAGTTTCTAACTTGCAGATACTGAGGCAAGAATTCATTTGATTGACATACCTGTCTCACAGTGATGCTGTGAATTCTGCCCTTCACACGGCACGAGGCACAATGGGGAACAGCCATTTGGACTCCTGCAGGTTCTGTAAGCAAACAACATCTTTTTTGGTGCTTATAATAAACAAATGTCTAATCTGAATGTCTCCTGTTAATTTACAATGTCGACTGCTTCTCCACGTTAGGAATGCTTAACACAAACACTGAAGAGAGCCTGCAAAAACAAGGTACTCAACTAGGACTCAGCTTTACCCAAGCTTTCCTCCTCAGTTGACCTCAAAGTGATCTCTAAAAGGAATCAGCATCGTTATCTCCCTTTGACAACTGGAAAAACAGAGGCAAGAGGAAGACCAGCAGCAGTTTCCTGAGGGCTGTGCACCACACAAGGACCTGCTCCCCGCTCCACTACTAGCTCCTGCAGAATAACAACAGTATTAATTCAGTGGTTTTCTCATCTAGTGCTTGATTCCTGAAAGGTCTGAGTGATTTTAACTCTCCAACACTTCAGCGGCACTTTAGCACTCTGCCAGATTCAATGTGTGATTAGGAGAAGCTTCCCATCCATGCCTGCAAATTGCACGGTCCCTGCTAATTAGGCCCTTCATGAATGGATTCATTTAAATCACACTCATTGGCATGGTCAAGGAGTGCAAACACCATTTAGTAATTCACTTAATTTGGTACGTGAGGATCAGTATCGTCTGCATGCAGAGGAAGCCAGTCCCCATCCAGCACTAGCAGGGACACTTCAGAAATCATCCTCAATAGGATCTTCAAAGCTACATAAAAATATTTGCTCTGTGAGGCTGATGCTGCTCAAAGCATTTACTGAGCGGGCTCATTGAATATTTACACATTCTTAGGACCTAAAGAATCTGTAAAATGAAAAGGGCAGACCTGTAATTTCAG